TAGTTTTGGTTTGGGAATTGGCATTTCTTTTAGAGTTTATAACCAAAACTCAAAATATATCCCATTAATATCCTATCCGTAAATAGTGTTAGACTCAAAAATCGAATTTAAATTAGATTAAACATAATAAAAAATGTATTAGACGTTGCATAATTAAAAAACAGTATTATGATGACGATTTCGTTACGCTTCGAATCTGAATTCTAGAATCATCTGACTGAAGATCATTACCAAATTAGGTGTGATTGTCAATGACCGAATTCGGTATATTCCCTGACTGTAATATATTAATATGATATTTTATAATATCTACTAAATTAAAAAAAAAGTTCTTCTAAAATAGAAAATAATATAGTATACCAAAAATTTGAACAGTACTATCCCTTCATATTTCATATGATTATACTAGTAATTCTATTGCATATAATTTAGCAATTTGTATTTTTTATTTTTCAATTAATAAATTTTATTGCAAAAAATATTTTTTGCATAATAAAAAATAAATATTTGATTTATTAGTATCGATTTACTAAATATGAATAATAAGTGTGCAGTATAATAATATTGATATTGGTACAATTAAAAAATTTGATTAAAATTATTATATGTTAATTGATTCAAATTGGAATTTTTATCAATTTCTATCTAAATTGATAGAAATTGACAAGATTACTATTAATTTTTATCTTTATTAATAGAAATTGGTGAGGGGTTTAAATCAATACTTATTTAATAATTGTTTAAAATTGATACTAATATATTTGCAAATTTTGGTGATATATATATTATTTTACTAACAATCACTTAACTGATATCTTAGTTCACTGACACTGACAAGTTTATTTTACTGGCAAGTTTTTTTATAAATTACACTAACCTTAACTTTAATTCTAGTCTAACCTAATAACAATAACCAAAATTACTTTGTCTGCAAAATAAGCTATTAGTGAAATAAACTGTTGGTGAATGAACTTGTCAGTAAATTAGTTTCAGTAAAATAAGCTATTGGTAAAATAATTGTTAGTGAAATAAGCACCAATATTTATATTATTATATTTTTCTGTCAATATACAGTTATACCTGAGTTATATTTCTACTAGGTTATATTCTACCTGAGTTATATCTCTATATTTAAGCAGAATAATTTTTTTATATATTTTTGTATGTTTTATATATTGAATTATATTTCTGCTTTAGTTATATTCCAAAAATGCTCTGAAAAAATGGGGTGATATAACCCAGATATAACTGTATATACTTTACTAATTGACTATATATATCTCTTTTTATATAGTTATTTTCTTTAAATTTCAAATATAGCAATATTTTATATATACACATGTTTAATAATAATATTACCAAATTTTAAATATAATAATGAGCTAGGTTTATAATTTAATAGCTTGGACTTAGACCTAGCTATATCCAGTACAATATAGCCTATTTTGAACTTCAAAACAAATAAAAACTAGAATGTAAAAAATATAATTTATTACTTTATAAATGAATTGTCTTTGACAAAATAATATATTAAAAGATTTGGATAAACAATAAGCTAATTCATTTTAATTCTCTTATCATTCATTAATTTCTCCTTTAAAACTATTTTTAGAATTTTACCAGTCTCACTTTTTGGAATTTTATCTATAAGCAATATGCCACCTCTTAATTTTTTATGCGGTGCAACCTTTTCATCTACAAAAAATTGGATTTCTCTTGCTAAAGATTGAGACTGCCCATACCCGTTTTTAACTGCGACATATGCTATAGGAATTTCGGTTGCTTCTTCTTCAGAATAATATCCTAATACTACTGCATCTGCAACAGCATCATGCTTAAGTAGAATAGATTCCAGTTCGGAAGGTAACACCTGAAAACCCTGCAATTTTCGATTCTTGTGTCAGTCAAATTTAACGTCATAATAGCATGCAAATGATGATAATTATTATAATCGTACTTTGTAATTTATTAACTCTGTTTTTCGATCAACAATAAAGTAGTTCCCTTTATAAAAAATGAAATTATAATTATGTAAGCATATATATATATATATATATTATTCAATAATGAAATATACC